TTTCTTTTTTCTTTTTGAAATTTAGGACTTGGCTCAGTTGGACATGGTCCTTGGCAGTAGTTGGCAGGTCGGTGTTCGATCCCTCCTATTGGCAACTATCATGAGGGAATTATTATTTTTTGGGTTGTTTCTCTAATGATCTGCTGGTGGAGTGGAGCAAGCCCAGCCGAGGCCCAATGAGTCTTCGTGGCCCACGCGGGAAGCATACCACAGGTAGCGCTCAGGAATCGTTTTTTCAGGAGCCCAATAAGCAAAATATCAGTACCACCTTGTATAGCAAATTCTTTTATCTTTCCCTAATTTTAATTTTTTTTAATAATAAAGCACGGATTGACTCAGTGGGTTCACTGTCACAATACGCTTTCTTCCCGTGAATTTGCGCTTTCAGTTTTTTTCACCTATATTATTTTCTACATCCGAGGTGGTACTATTGCTCGGCGGTCGTTCTGTCGTTGAACCCACGGCATCCACCGAGACTCTTGCCCGCTAAAAAAACACCCGCATCTTCCCCAGCCCGTACTCGGCACCCCATCGCATCGTCGGCCGCCCAACTGCTCTCGGTCGTCGCCGGGGTTCCGCGGCCGCCGGCATCTTCCCCAGCCCGCACTCGGCACCCCATCGCATCGCCGTGCCTGCCGCCCAACTGCTCTCCGCCGTCACTGGGGTTCCGCGGCCGCCTCGCTGATGATGTGGCATCGTTCCTACACGACGCCCCTCCCTCCTCCCATGGATCCTTCCATCCCCAAACGGAGCACCTACAGATGGTGAGGTAGGATCAGGCGAGGCCACGAGTGAACCAGCGGCCTCACTGCCTACACCGTCCAGCACGGCGTCTCCACCCGCAACACCTCTGGTCACTAGCATACTTAGAGCTTCCTTGGGTTTGTGGAGGACATGTCCGGTTTCAGTAAGTTAGTTTCACTTTCACGAAGACAATGGAAACGCAGAAAAAGGAAAGCAGGTGGATTTAGAAATTTCAACATTGTAGAGCTCAGTTGAAAGGGAAAACAAGATTTATAGCATCCAGCCAGAGTGGTGATTCAATTTTTGATGATTTGTACTTTGGTTGTGAGGTCGATGAAGACATGACATGGATTTGGGTGGGGTAGTGGGTTTGCTCGCGAGGAGGTGGGAAGGACGAAGATAGTGGAAGAACCTTGAGATGATGGTGATATTGTTGGAAATATTAGCACTTTTTCGATTAGACTTATCCACGAGTAAACAGTAAGCATGGCATAAAAGGTATGCATCTCATAGTAATACCTAAGCATACTAGCACGTACAGAACATAGAATCGAACCTTCTATGAGCAGCACATATACGGCTAGCATAAGTATGAGTAAACGAGGGATGAACAGATCATACCCTCCGGTTGGCCAGGCCAACGCGGCGGCTGCAGCAGCAGCCTCGACGTCGTCCGTGGCCTTCTTCTTAGCGGCGGCGGCGTCAGCCATGGTGTCGATGCAGAGGAAGTAGTGGAAGCAGAGGCGAACAGAGTTGGGGACGGATCGGGAGCAGTCGCGTCGAGACGCTCCCCAAAAACCTTATTGTTGTTCTCCCGGGCAGGATCTCGAACGACAGGGTTCCGGAGGCACCTGCTCTCCCGACCAGCCGTGCACGCGGTCGTCGGGATGGGATCGCCGAAGGCAGCACAGAGTGAGGAACAGTAGATGACGGCTAGGTCAAGCGAGAGGGAGTGAGTGAACCGAGGTTACTTCACTGGTCAGAGCCTTCTTATATAGTCCGTAAGGAAGAAAGTCGTGGGCCTTGCAGAGGCCCACGACCAAGTCAGCCCACTCCCGGCAAGGGAGTCGTTGTTCCCGGCAAGCGTCGCACCCCCAGCAAGGGGTCGACGAATCCTGGCAACGCGGGTCCCGGCAAGAGTCGCACCCCCGCAACCCGCGGCGCGCGCGCGTCGTGACGAGGCGAGGCGGGCGGCGGAGGAGGAGGAGCGCGCGTGTACCACTCCTCTTCCCAAGCTTCCAATGGCAAGTGGTAGAGCAGCCCTTATAAAGGGGTCTTAACTCTCCTCAACTAGCGAGGTGGGACTAAACTTCCACCACCTGTCATCTCATACATGGGCCTCAAGATTAACCAGGGATTAGTGTCTTATATGGGCCTAAGCCCATCCATAATCCAACAGATATTACCGACTCAATCCTTTATTAGCTCTATTTTTTATCTTTAAGGTGCATGAATGGTAACTTGTGCAAAACTACGCTTCCCTTGTCATTTGATAATTTTTGTCTTTATGGTGCTCATAGCATATTTTTCATCTATACTTATAGGAGTTTGTTACTTCCTTTTGGTCGAAGAATAAGATGGGTAACATATGCATTTCTGACTTAGCTTAACATTTTTTGAACAGAATTTCTATAAATTTTATACATGTATTGTGCTGAAGTCTGCGAAATAGATTAATGACCGAGAGTGTTTATAAGTTATCAAGTCGAGCACATAAGTCTGGAAAGTAGCTAATTTTCCCACTGAAAAGTAGATAGAGGTTTCTGTAGACATGGGACATTACTACATAGTATGCATATCCATCTTCTGAATTCTATGATTCTTCATACCTTGAGTCTGTTAAACGTCTATGCACCTTTCATTTGATGAGGTACATTCAAATTGGGTATGTTCATAACTTTGATGAAAAAATATCTTCCCTTAGATGGTTAAGGTTCTAGAGCTCATTGCTATGAAAGGAGGCATAGATTTGATTCACGGAATTGCAACCAGAATTGGAGTGAGCGTGAGTAACAATCTCCTGCAGACAATACATTCTTTTGAAGCTACGGCTGCGGGATCGTACGGCAAAAAATTCCTTGTGCCTCGCCCGGTCTTCGCTGCCCTACTGGGCCACGGATGGGTCTTTTCTTATGGACCGTCCACGCAAAAAAAAGGTACGACTGTAGGGGGATATGATGAACATGCAAGGAATATCCAACAGATCACCCTTACTACTATATTCCTGATCCACAAATACATCTTGGTCCCCTTACTACTATATTCCTGATCCACGATTGTCAACTTGGTCCCCTGTACGAGTTGATTACATGATGTCGTGTTCTCAAGTTTTAGTCTGAATTATTTATTAGATGCTTGAAGAAATTCACAACTAAGCAATTTTTTCTTCTGTCTTTTCAGTGATGGAAGGTAGATTGAGCTGATAAATTCCTGCACCCACCTTGAGGTCCATAACATTCTCCTAATTATATGCAGCACAATTCGTATAGATGTATTTGTTTGAGGGAGAAGCAATCAGAAGCAACAATATGTGATCATCATGTGTGCGAGAGATATCAAGAGTATGTGATGAGATGGCAAGAGTATGTGATATGTATTTCTGTCTACACTACTAATATCTATTGACTATTCATGTTGATACAGTAGGTTCATGATTGATTGAAACAATAAAATTACTCGAGAAATATTTTATGTGTATGTACTTTGAGACTCGAGAGGCTGTTATTTACAGGGATTCTCTGTCCACTAGAGAGGTTGGTCTCAAATCAACATCGGAACAAGGGCATATAAGTGGAATGAGGTAAAGTCATTTTTTCTCTGTCTCCATGGTATGCTGATATGTTCAAAGCAGCATTTTAAATATTGATACATATAATTCATTGATTAACTCAAACAAATGACACTAGACATCAACTACTGCAATTGATCGATAATATTTGTTAGGTTGTAGTATCTATCTAACATCTAGAAGGTTCACAAGGTTATGTATATCTTTAAAATGTGGCACAGAGAGCAGAAGGTCTTAAATGCTTGCAAATCCTCACTTTTAAGAGCAGCACCTGGATCCAACGAACTAAATATGCAAGCACGCAAGACAGTGATGTTTTTTTCCCCCATTAGCGAATCTTATTTTTCTAAGTCATATTTAGTTAGGAAGGCACCTATCTAGATTTTCTGAGAGACTGGCTACACGGTGCGACTTATCAGATTCAGATCCATCCTTTTCTTCTTGCTGCATCTTCTCGCACAGCTGTTCGCATGTTGTGCATGCTCCTTTATATCCTTTCATAGTGTATCTTCAGATTTTCAAAATGTTGCAAATTGGATGAAAACGTTTGAAATAATTGGATTTAAAAAATAATACATTGTTATATTTTATTTTTTTTGCCCGGTGCAACGCACGGGCATTTGTACTAGTAAAAATAAAAAACAGGTAAAATTGTTGACGGTGAATCGACAGAAGCAATCAGTACTTTATTAGTAGGCAAAGATGTATGGCTCGGGGGTTCAAAACTATAATTTGACTATTTGAATTCTATGAAATCAAGGGATACCCTATATTTCCAGACAAATATATTCAGTGAGTATCAAAGTGTTCCTCATGTGCACAAGAATTTAGATAAGTTCATGCAACTTTCAAGATAATAATCCTACCCATGTATTTATTATATTGATCTCAAGAGATTCAACACATACAATGGCATGTGGTTTAAGCCATTAGGATTTGTATATGGGCTTCGAGCATTCCAAATTCGTTTTAGGACACACATGTGTGTGGGAGTCAATCCAACATACAAATGTTGCGGATACATGAAACGGCTCTTTATTCATATTGTGCCACATGCCCGAGGATGTACAGAATATTTTCCATATAAATTAAAATTGATAGTATGTGTTGAAACAATTGTACACGTTTATATTTTTATGGGATGGATATTATCGTTATTTCCAAGGATCAATCATGTACAATGCCACGTTGTTTCAACCAATAAAGAAAGATTTATGCTTATACTGAATTAAATTTTATATTCGCTGGGCATTAAAATATTATTCGCACCCGTATTAATTTAATTTATTACGGTCTGGTTGGCAGTTGGAAAAATCTTGCAAATTAATATCGCATGGTTGATTGGTATTAAAAGGAGATTTTATACATATATTAGTGCATTTATGCCATAATTAAAGGTATCTTCTGTGAAATGTGTTGTATCCCCCTCTAGAAAACACACCGAGTCTATATATAGTTATCAATTCATATGGTGATATGTATCCTATTCCACATCAAAATGTCTAAACTTAATCTACTTCTGCAAGCGGTGGCTCTATGTTTCTTTTCTCATGCACTTCAAATCGAAGGTCATCGGCTACACCCCACTGTTCTAGAGGTAGTCGTATGATTCATTATAACATTATAGAATTTTATAGGACTAAGATGTGTTGTCTGGTGAAGTAGAACCTAGTATTTTCTCTAGTGCCATATATCTTGTTATGCGTAATATGTTAGGATTGTAGAGAAACCAAGAAGATGATTTGGGGTTATTTATTGGCTACCGAGTGATGGGAGAAGCGGCATATAAGGAATGCACATCCTAAAGGGTTAGTAAAATACGAAATGCTACATGGCATTCAATCCGAGGTGTGGCTAGTGGATCTACATGGAAACTACTTTATTGTTCTTGATAGGTTGCCAATCCATGCAATATGTTTGGATCTTGGACCGCTGGTCTCATATTTGCTAGGAATGCATTAGTACTTCAATAATGATATTACCGATGCACCTTATTTGTATCCTCATCTCTTGAAAACTATCTTATTTCTATTTATTTGCCATTTCCAAAGTGTTGTAAACTATACCATATGATTCAGAATAACCATGATACGAAGATGGGCCAGTAATGTAATAATAGGGAATAAATAATGGATAGAATCACCACAAATGCCTATCTATGTGGGATGGATGAGAGATACATACTGATGTACACTCTTGTGCACTCTTGTAATCATTGGATTCATCCAAATAATGG